AGGTTTTTAGGCCATTTTTATATATGTTTTTAACTATTTATAGATTATGTCTGTGTCTGGAGAGTCCTGTGTTTTTGTTGTTATTATTGTGAGCCACCCAGAGTCACCCATTGGGGGAGATGGGCAGCATGCAAATTTGAAAAACAAACAAACAAACAAATAAATAAATAAATAAAGGCTTTCATAACTGAGAGGCAATATTGAAATGCCCTAGTTTGTAATTCCAGTTCCTTGATTCCCATATCTGTTCTTTGCACCAGTAGCCAAGGAACCCAGACCATGCCTACTTGCCATTAGATGTCTCCATTGCTTACATGGAGGAAAGCAAAACAGTATTTTCATTTTACCAATTCGCCAGCCCCAGAAGGATTCTTTATTGTTCCTCTGAGTTGTGGTGTGTGTGATTCACATATTAATTTCCATTTTTTCTAATAAGTGGGTTCTCCTGTGCTTTCTTATTATATGTAATGTATAGAGCCATCCCCTTTAGATGGTATAATCATGAAAAAGCCATGGATTGGGGCCATGTCTGCTTGCTCCTCTGCCTGAATTGCAGGCAGTCCTATGGCCTTCATTTCCTGATCCAAATACTTCTCTCAGAAGATCTTCTCAGAGCAAATATTTTGGTTATGGAAGGGACTGTGAGTGATGTGATGTATTTACACCACCCAGCTGGTTGTGTAAGCGGGAGTAAGTAGTCAGATGTCCTTCCTCCATATAACAACCATTTGATTTTCATTGCATCTTTTTTTTAATGGTTATTGAATATTGAACGTTATTACAACATTTAGCAGTTTGGTTTAACTAGTTAACTTTATCCTGAAACTTTGCAGTAAATCAAACTGGGGAGACTGCCTTGGACACGGCAAAGAGACTGAAAGCTATCCAGTGTGAAGACTTGGTAAGAAAAAGCAAATCAGGCTTGTTTGCAATTAGGAGATGGAGGAAGGAACAGTGCTTGAAAATGTCTCTTGTTTTGCAAGTACAGAATGGGATGGATTGCTGCAGGCAGAGATTCCAGAGTGACATTCTGCTCTTTTTCAGTGTTTCCCCCAAGCAAAAAAGGTCCCTAACTTCAAAGCACAAACTGTTGTACTGAGAGTAAAGTTTACCATACTTTATTTCTTAATTTGAATTAGGTGTCTTTCTATCATGATAAATGATTTTAAATAAATCAGACAAAGCCGTGCATTTGAATATAGATACAAAAATATAGATACAAAATGTCCCTGAGAATATGCTTTTCATGAAACCCAGAAGACAGCATTTCTGAATTACTTGCATTTCAGCTTTCTCAGGCCAAAGCAGGAAAATTAAATCCACACGTGCATGTTGAATACGAATGGAATCTTCGGCAGGAAGAAATGGATGAAAGCGATGATGACTTGGATGACAAGGTAAAGAAGAATTGGGGATTATATTGTTTTGCAATGGATTGGGGCAAGGGGGCGGGGGATGACGTAGTTCCAGTCATTCCATTCTGATCCTGGGAGTAGGGCAGAAAAAATTGTTTAGAAGTATTGAAAATATTTAAGGAAAAGGCTGCATTTGACCAAGAAATCAAGGAACTAACAGATGGGAAAACATTAATAACAATGGTTGACTCATTTATCTTTATGCATTTATTATATCCTATAATCTAGGCATAATTAGTTTGGTATGATGTACAAATTCATCCAGTCTTTACCACATTCATGAAAGCAAATTATTAATAGTCCATTAAATATTTTGTGCGAGGTCCTTCTAAAACCTGCCCTTTAGATTCTTGTTCCTGCTGGATAGCAGAAGTTGTCAAAGCCTTGTAGCAGCAGCAGCAGCATTTATTAAACTTGTATGTTGCCCGACTCTCAACAACTCTGGGTGATGTAATTCCAGAGGTACTGAAGGCAGATAGATCAGAATTTGTTGCATGTCTTTTCATGCGATGAACACTAGTTAGCTCCTAAGCAAAATACGAATCACCTATTTAGAGCTTCACTCCATAATAAAATATATTTAGAAATGTTATGTCTACATATAATTGAATAATCTACTTTCTTGCATCCTCCAATTCTAAGATCCACAGGGTTTTTAGAAGAGTTCATGAGCTTTCCATGTGCTCAAGAATGTCCTTTTTGGAGCTGATTTTTCTCATGTGATGTACAATGCAAAGTTGTACCTGCCACTGAAGTAATTAAAGAAGCTTCTTAAAACAAAAATGGGGGTCACGGTTCATGCCTCAGTGGCTTACACAGGAACCTCATTTCCTGTTCTTCAGCTGGAAGGTCTTTATTTTATTGGTTAAAGAGGGAGTGCACGTTGAAATAAAAGTGCTAATTTTTTTTCCACAGCCTAGTCCAATAAAGAAAGAGCGTTCTCCGAGACCACAGAGTTTTTGTCATTCTTCCAGTATTTCTCCCCAAGACAAAATGGCTCTTCCTGGTCTTAGCACTCCACGGGACAAACAGAGACTTTCCTATGGCGCCTTCCCACATCAGATTTTTGTCTCTGCAAGCATGGATTCTGCAACTTCTCCAACAGCAGTCGATGGCCCTCCACTTCCTCCAAGAAATGCTGGAAAAGGTATTTGTTAAATACTCTTGTAAGTGTTGCAGTCATGAGGTGTGATTGATGAGGTCCCCCCCCCCCCACCCTT